CTAGACTTCACTGTCAGACACTATTGAGTGACTGACTAGCTTTTTTTTTCCTTCTTTGGTAATAACATACATGAAAAGAGTTGTAAAGGGTACATGAGCATTTGTCTACATCAATAACCCACTTCTTGTGATTGCCAAGATTAAACTGATTGAATCTTTGCGCAGCATAAAACGTATGACCATTCGGTACAATTGTCTGAAAATCAAGACTATTACTTTTGGGTTCTATAGCCCTCAAGTCGATTTGACAACTAATAGTCGTTATTTCCCCACTTGAAGACATTTTCAAACCCAAACTTGTTTAGGGAAGTTCTAAATTAGTATTATCTTTCAAATGCAGTTGGAATTTAACTTTTTCATTTTTTTGGCCTGCAAATGGGACATAGTACCTTTAAGAATGGTGGACCTAAATGTAAAGTGTCATAAACCGAAGCCAAAATATTGATTCTATTTTGTATGCTTCGGTTATATGGCTGTTTGAGTTGAATCAAAGCGGAACGAAGTTTAATGCCCAAATTTGAACATGCTTACACTCCAAATAGTTTTCCATTGTAATTTTACTCTAAAGAATCCATTTGACAAACATGTTTTTGAGCTTCTAACCACACACGCTCTACAGGTTACAATCAGTGATCATATTTTATATTTTTTGATAAATGTAAAACCTACCAGCGTGAACTTCATTACAAATGATTTCAATCAAGGTACGTTTCCTTTCAGAACGTTCCTTTCAAACGTGTTTTTATTTCTTCAGTTACCTTAGTTACAACCCCAGTCGGCGTATAAAATATCTTATTCACCTACGATACTGTGACATGATATAAAGAGTATGCCAGTCCCTATATATCATGGTATGACTAATGGGGATCAGACATAGCTTCGAGTGCTTTCCATGAGTGAACCCATACAGGATACATAATATAAACTAAGATGAAGAACCAAAAGATACTACACACGCAATCGGTTCCATAACAATGTTTTTAATATAGAGAAGAAAATTCGTTAAGCTGCGAGCAAGGTTACTTGTAGAATCGTCAAATATCGGGGATGATTTTGTCTTCAACTTTACAAAGAGAGCCTCTTTTCTACATGATGTTATAAGGACATGATTATTTCATGGTTTCATTAGAATTTCATGAATATTTTCACAAACATTTTTGGGCAATTATCGTTGAGTTTAAAGAAAAAGTTGAGTTCTGGGGAGAAATATAAAACAAAACTTGTGAGCTTTATCATTTTTATAATGCAAGTGTGGACAAAAAAAGTATTAAAAAAATGTTCCCTGAAAACATGGCTCTTCTATTCTAAATATGACAAGCATCAGCTTAAAATGACGCCCGGTTTTTAGTCCACATGTTTCTGTAGTCCCATATACATCTTTCCTTGTACCGTGCTTCTTACTTTACCAAAGCTGGGCCAAATTTGTTATCATTGTGATGACTCTATAACCTTGCAGTGCTACTTGATCAACCTTTTCTGATCGATTCCTCATCGTTTCTTTCACAATGCAGTCGCATGTCCAGAACCCAACTTTATTTTTAAGTTCCTAACTGTAGTATAAATTCTCTTACAATAGATAGACACTAATAAATGTATAAAAAATCATGACAAAACGAAACGCGAATATCAAAATTGAAAACATAATTAAATAATTACCGGGTAACAAAAGCCTGGCGTACCCTTAACCCCCTTAACAAATAAATAGCATGTTTACATTATTCGCTATGGCAGTTGACTCCTCCTCCCCCATCGTCATTTAAAGTAGTTTCTTTTCTGTCTGGTAACAGACTAAGGTTTCCACTTGCTGAGCAGAATGCCCAGGCCACTTTATCACGTGATATTACTTGCGTCACAATGCCCATCAGGACCGGCTCACTGAGCAAGAGATATGGATCTTATTTGTTTGGTCGATTAGCTCTAGTTAGATGTATTTTCCCCCGGTTTCGTTTTGAACCACATGATTCAACTGACTTGCATCAGGTACCTGCCAAATGCCATTTCACCAGGCGTTGAATTACGGACTCATGCAGCCTATATGTCTTTCATTTCTTTTGGGTTTTCCGTCACTTCTACATGGAAATCTAATGGAACGAAGCACATTTTAGTGAAAAAGGGAATCGGCATTAGATTGATTTTTAGATCTTTTTCTTCGACACACTGCATGTTTTGGCACCTGTCACACCGGATTCATGACCTAGAGCAAAATTCTCCTCTTATCTTGCGACAGAGACATTATAAACACCCTTTATAACACGTTCTAGAAGAGACCTCTCATGTCACTTGTTGCCAGTTACTTTTATTTGAACTGTGTAAGCTTACGTGTGAGTCCTTTTAAGTCGGCTATAATTGGATAAATATTTCTGAGGAAAGGTCTCGGAGCCTCATTCCACGATTCATTTCGCATTTAGCAGGATCTAGGCAAACAGTGATTACAATTAATATATAATGTTTGACTCGTTACCTCTAAATTTGGTTGATCCAAGCAATAGCCACTATGAAAGCTCGTCGGAATAGAGTTACATACAATCTATGTATATATTACAGAAACCCTTATCCTAATTATATATCATAAACCGTATCCGGACACCTACCCCCTGGACATCAACCCCCGGATAACCACCCCAGTCAACTACCCCCTAGGACAACTATCCCCTATGACAACTACCCCCTATGACTACCACCCCCAGAAAACTACCACCCGGACAACTACCCACTAGGACAACTACACCCGGACATCTACCCCGGACAACTAACCCCCAGACAACTACCCCTAGGATAGTTGTCCAGGGGGTAGGTATCCTAGAGGATGGTTGTCGTAGGGGGTAGTTGTTGGGGTAGTCGTCCTAGAGGGTAGTTGTCCTAGGGGGTAGTTGTCTAGGGGGCAGGGGTAGTTGTCCGGGGGTAATCGTCCTAGAGGGTGGTTGCCCTAGGGGGTAGTTGTCGTAGGGGAAGATTTGCTGTTGTTGTTGATGGTCATGTTGATGGGAATGGTGATGATCCGTGATCTCATGTCGTTAGAGAATTTTTCACCATTCGGGCAATGTTAGGCGATTTGCATAAACCTTTTGAGTTCAATGTACCATGATGATGCATGATAGGTGTATTCCCAGCTTCTGAAGGGAGTTTCTGATGGTTATCTTGTAATTAATTGTCATGTATAGGTATTAAAGGTCAAATACAGATCGGAATAGTTATCATGGAATAGTGACAATGAATATTAGCTGTTACATCTGATTGATTGATTGATTGATTGATCCATTTTTATTTTAAATTCAGTATTGAACAGGTTGTTAACATTTACAATGTACATAATTATAAAAATCGACCTAAATATGTGAAACAAAGTAATTACATTTAAATGCAAATTGTGTTGGAAAATGACATTGGGTGTATCAGTAAAAACCTATGTGGCTTGACAAGTTGATACATCCATTACAAAGAATAAAAGATATTCTATCAATTTCAGGTAGTTGACGGTTACATAATAAATTGCAGTTAACTTAAACATACTCGGACAGTAAATGGCGCTTGTCCTTATTTTTAAAGGATTTTCCCAATTGAGTATTGCGTATCAAGGGGATCATGAGTTCATTATAATGGGACCAACGAACGGAATAAAATAAAAAAAGAGAGTGATGTGTGACCTTTGATTGGTGGAAAAGCTAGTTGTTAGAAATATATATATCTTTATTCGTTCAAAAGTTTATATATCATGTGTTCCGTATACACCGTGGTCTCTTCAGTAAATCAAAACTGCTTTACAAGAGAGCCCTGTCTTTAACTACAGTCAAACCTGCTTTAGTGACTACCAGTCTACAAAGACCACCTGTCAAACAATACAAGGCAACGTACCAGTCCACTATGCCAAGGATGAAATCATTCGCCAGATAATATTATCAAGGTAGGGAAATATTAAATCAACATGGGAATTTGGAAGAAATGTATAAATGGTGTCATAATCGACTGGTCTACGTTGTAACTTGTCATTAAAAGTGCTCTTTAAAATATAGAAAACGTAACAAAACAAAACAAGAACAAAATATAGATTACAATTGGAAAATAGTTGTGGATTTTTGATCACATCTAAAATAAACAATTCTACATTGTACATTTATTGAAAGCAATACAACACCACACTTATGATTAAATTGAAAGATCGGACTCTTGGATTGTTCCCAAAAGACTCAAATAAGTGACATGTTTAGAGATAATTGGCAGCATGACAAAGACCATTGACCTGAAAATTCAAATCCGAAATCGCCTCTTCCAAAAATCGCTTTAAATTATATAAATATTGACCCCTAAAAACTGTAAACTGCCGTCACTTTTTCATACCGATTCCGTTTTGTTTCAAACTGCTACAATATTTAATATTATCAATGCACATGACCTAGCTAAATTTCACTCTCCAATAATAACGCATAATATAAATAGCGCCCTCTAAAGTTCTAAAAATCTTCCAATGGCTTAGATCAATCGTGCCTGGCCAAAGCCGTACCCTTTGTGGACTGATATACTTCGAGATCTGCCCTTTCCATCCAATTTTTAAAAATATGTACCTCACCACTGACTGACTTTAATCATGTTCATTTTTTTCTAGGTGTTTTGGCGATATTTTGATATCAGCTTTCACTAGGAATGTGGCGGAAGAATGAGAAGATACAGCATGTAGGAATAAATTAAAAAACAGCCCTTAAAGATTTTAATGAATTCATGAACTTGTAGACAGGAGAGAGAGGTTTCACTAGGAATGTGGAAGAAGATTTTCAAAAAGGGGGTCAGTCGTAAAGGCAACGCCAAAAGTCTGACCCACAGAGACAGTAAGGAGGGAAATAAACAAGATGGCCGTGTTAAATATTTGCAGAGTACACTAAGCAGTGCTGCGCACAAGGGAGAACTTGACCTCATCCAAGAACTGATCGGTAGAGGAGCCGAGGTGAATAAAGTTGATATTGACGGTAGGACTGCATTGCAGCAAGCTGCACTGAATGGTCATCTTGATGTCACTAAATATCTCATCAGCCGAGGAGCTGAGGTAAATAAGGGCTACATTAATGGTTGGACTGCATTACATTCAGCTGCTTTTAATGGTCATCTTGATGTCACCAAATTTCTGATAAGTCAAGGAGCTGAAGTGGATGAAGATGATAATAAGGGTCGGACCCCATTACGACAAGCTGCATCTAATGGTCATCTTGATGTCACCAAATTTCTGATTAGTCAAGGAGCCGAGGTTAATAAGGATGATAATGAGGGTTGGACTGCATTACAACTAGCTGCACAAAATGGTCATCTTAATGTCACCAACTACCTGATCAGTCAAGGAGCTGCAGTCAATGAGAGCAGCAATGGTGGTTCGACCCCATTACAACTAGCCGCACAGAATGGTCATCTTGATGTCACCGAATGTCTGTTAAGTCAAGGGGCTGAAGTGAATAAAGATAATAGGGGTTTTACCCCATTACATCTTGCTGCACTGAATGCTCACCTTGATGTCGCTAAATATCTCATCAGTCGAGGAGCCGAGGTGAATAAGGGCGGAAATCTTAATGTGACCCCGCTACGTTTAGCTGCACAGAAGAATCATCTTGATGTCACCAAATTTCCGATAAGTCGAGGAGCTGAGGTGAATAAAGATGATAATGATGGCTCGACCCCATTACAACTAGCCGCACAGAAAGGTAATCTTGATGTCACCAAATATCTGATCAGTCAAGGAGCTGAAGTGGATAAAGATTATACTAATGGTTCGACCCCATTAAATCTAGCTGCACAAAATGGTCATCTTGATGTCACCAAATATCTGATCAGTCAAGGAGCCGAGGTTAATAATGATAATGATGGTTCGACCCCATTACAACTAGCTGCACAGAATGGTCATCTTGATGTCACCAAAGTTCTAATAAGTCAAGGGGCTGAAGTGAATAAAGATGATAATGATGGTATGACCCCATTACGATTAGCTGCATTTAGTGGTCATCTTGAAGTCACCAACTACCTGATCAGTCAAGGAGCTGCAGTCAATGAGAGCAGCAATGATGGTTCGACCCCATTACAACTAGCTGCACAGAATGGTCATCTTGATGTCACTAAATGTCTGATAAGTCAGGGAGCTGCAGTCAATGAGAGCAGCAATGATGGTAGGACCCCATTACAACTAGCCGCACAGAATGGTCATCTTGATGTCACGAAAGACCTAATCAGTCAATGTGCTGACTTTGAAAAGACCGATTATGATGGTTGGACTGCATTACATTCAGCTGCTAATGAAGGACATCTTGATGTTGTCACAGAATTAATCAGTCAAGGTGCTGATGTTGATAAGGCTAATGACAAAGGATGGTCAGCCTTATACCTTGCCGCAGCTGCTGGTCATGTTCGTGTTTCAAGTGCTTTGCTTAGTCAGCAAGCTGAACTGGCCGAAGCAAATATAATTCATTGGACGGAGTTTCATACCGCTGCAGAGAGAGGCGATCTTGATGCCATGAAAGATCAAGTAAGACAAGGAGCCGAGCTAGATAAAGCTGGTTCTTTTGGTTGGACAGCCTTACACATCTCAGCAAGTAATGGACACCTTGGTATGACAAAATATTTGCTAAGTCAAGGAGCTGATGTGAATTCTAGCAATGCCTTTGGTAGGTGTGCCTTGCATAGTGCCTCAGAGAAAGGCAACTTGGATCTCGTGGAATATCTGATTAGTGAAGGGGCCGATATGAATACAGGAAATGACTTTGGGGTGACTGCCCTACATTTTGCATCAGAGTCTGGCCATTTAGATATCGTCGAATCCCTAATCGGTCATGGAGTTGAGGCAGATACTTGCGACGCAGATGGAATCACTGCTCTCCATTATGCTTTATATGCCGGTGAGATCGACATTACGAAGTATCTGCTCAGCCAAGGCTCTGAATTGAATAAAAGAAGTGTGCGTGACTCTGTCATCTTACAGTTTGATGGACAGTATGGTCACTATGATGTTGTGCGATGTGTGCACAGTCGAGTCGATCGTGTAGTAAGCAGACTCGTTAATTCTCTCACTGTCTTTAGAGGTGCCCTAGAAAGTGATCTTGGTAGAAGCAAATATCGAGATGGCGACGAGGATAACACAGTTCAAGGTGGGATTGTTATTGTGCATATGCCACTAAGATCGTCTGATCTTGACATTCAAGATCTTCTTGTAAGTCAAGGAGGCAGAACAGTTGGTCGCACGTCATTACAATATGCTACAGAGGGTGGCTGTCTTGCAGTTGTTCGGTATCTGATTAGCCAAGGAGCTGATGTGAATGAAAGCAACAATGCTGGCTGGACGGCTCTTCACTTTGCTGCGCAAGTGGGTCATCTTCATATTGTAGATTATCTACTTGGACAAGGAGCTGAAGTATCTAAAGGGGGTGTTGATGGTATCTCTCCTTTACATGTTGCTGCATTTATTGGCTGTTATGACGTTACTGAGCATTTGCTTAGGCAAGGAGCAAAGGTCAACGAAGTCACCAAAGAGAAAGGTTCAACAGCCCTACATGTCGGAGTGCAGAACGGGCATCTTGATATCACAAAATGTTTGCTCAACCACGAAGCCGAAATTGATGCGACAGACAATGACGGTTGGACTTCCTTGCACATCGCTGCTCAGAACGGTTACATCGATGTCATGGAGTGTCTACTACAGCAACTTGCAGATGTAAGCAAGGTTACCAAGAAGGGATCATCTGCATTGCATTTGTCTGCTGCAAATGGACATACCCATGTCACAAGATATCTTTTGGAGCATGGAGCTGAAGTGAATCTGAGTAAACCTGATCAGACTGCGTTGCACGTCGCTGCAGAACAAGACCAAGTGCATGGGAGAAGTCCAGATACGTGGTTTGCTAAAGGGCAGAAACATTTTTCTTCCCAAAATGGCCATGCGAATACTGAGGGTATAACAAAAGATGAGAAGAAGGTATTTAATTTAGTATTCCTATATATTTCATGTGGAATAAATATCAAAATGTTTATTAACATTCTTGCAAGTATTAAAATCATATCAATAGAAATTGAAACGGGTTAGCGATTTGTTAGCCTTAATAATCCCGTTTAAAATTTCTTATGAAGGTATATAGAGTGTCTGAATTATGAAAAAGGTTGAAATGATTCCACGAGGACTTCTCAAAACCTATCTTGTAACAGTATATATACATGTTAGTCAAACCTGTCTTAGTGTCTATCGTTTATTTTGCCTCCCTCGAGAAAGGAATTTGTGTTTGAGAACATGTCTACAAACGCCACCTGTCAACAAAAAACACTTTTTTGTTTCCATTGGTGACCTTAACAGACAGTTTTGACTGTAAGATATTTGTTTAAATGTTAATATCTGTATACATAGTCTATTTAGTGATTAAAGATATGAAAAACTAGAAAAGAAACTGCTTTATAAAAGGCTGTTTTGTTTGTAGATTCTTAATTTTTGAGGCTGGCATTTTACATAGGTTCTTGGACAACATGCTGAAAAAGGCTGCACAGCAGTTCATTTAGCCACGCAAAATGGCTACACCTCCATCATCGAGATATTAGTTTCTCATGGCGCTGATCTCAACCTCCAGTCCATAGACGGACAGACCTGTCTTCATGAAGCCATCAGACTTTCCGGTCGGAAGGACAGCAAAGTTGAAGCAACACCAGCACTCAAAAAGGTAAGATGGTGAACTCTAGAACACACTGTCCCTGAAATTGTATGACGCTTGCTCCTGCTACAATCGCTGTGTAGTAATTTCCTACACTAACCGAATTGTTAACTTATAAAATGCAATTGAAATTATACCATTCACATTTGAGTAAGCATAGCCATTTAACAAATGAATGAGTCTCTAAAAGAAAATTACAAAAATGAGCACATTGCCATTCAAATACCAATGATAATTTTCGTCTCTTAGAGTAAAATACAAAAAAAATAATAATAAAATGGAAATCACAGAGGATTCGTAATTCCGAAAAATTAAATAGTGTTCAGTATTGAAAGTATTACAACAAATTCTGTATCGCAGAATTGAAACTTTGAAATAACGAACTATATATCATTTCCGGAATGACAAACCTTTTGAGTAACTATATCTATTTAACTTTCGGAATTATAAACATAAAGGTACCATCACAAAAACACAACAAGTGTTCGGAGTTATGAATCTGTGGATAAATCTTCAGAAGCACAAGGGCCTCCCAAAATTTAAACAATCGTTTCTATTGATAATTGTTCTAGATCTCAGAAGACTTCTATCAGAATGAATTGTCTCCAAGGAAGGCCCTTGTCTTATATCTCTTGGACCACGGAGCAAAGCCGGACATCAAGGATAACCAAGGCAACCTACCAGTCCACTATGCCAAGGATGAAATCATTCGCCATATGATATTCTCAAGGTGGGGAAGCATTATTGACATGGGCATTCGGAAACAAATATAGAAACGGTGTCATAGTCAAGTAGTCTAATCACTCGACTTGGAATACCAAAGGTTTTGGGTTCTTTAGATCCTCTGCATGGCATGTATGTCCTTGAGCAAGGCATTTTTTTTTTATCTACAATGCTCCTCTCCACCCAGGTAGTAAATGTGTACCTGCCAGGATGTGAACATCAATGTAATTAGATGAGGACTTGCACGTCCATAAAAAAAGTGTGACAGGCTGACATGCTTCCCAGGGAGTGGAGTGCGCACTGTAGAGTGCAGAATCATTAAAGAGTCCAGGGACTGGTTGAAAATACTGTAAACTCTTTAGTTAGATTCACTGTGACCTCGTACAGTACTTTATAAAATGCAGTTGGTGATTAACGTGGCTTTCTTACATTTTGATTTGGGTTTCCAGCCGAGTTATACATACGGTTGTTACAAGGTTGTGAAATTAGATTATGCAGATGAAATAGGGCAATTCCAGCTGGGACAAAAATTGATCAACTTGAATTAAACCAATATGAACACTAGTATACAACGAGTAATACTCCATTGTTCAGTAACTTTATTGGGTTATTTGTTTAAAGTTTCAGTCAGATATATTTTGGCAATTTGAAATATTAATTGTGCTGAAGTCTATTTGAAATTCTCTTGGTTATTTTCTTTAGATAGTTGAGTCTTTTATTTGCACAAAATGTGTGGAAAAATGCATTTGAAAGCTTATTGTTCCATACTTTCCATATGTCACATTTTGTCCTGACCATTTCTAAATGTCAGTATTCCTGATGATTGTATAAACTAGTTAGTAGATATTGTAACACTTACAAAAAAAAAACAAAAAAAAAAAACACTGAGATGAACACTGGGTATATGTACATGAAAGTATGGGGTCATTAATCATCTATGCACAAACAGTATATCATGTTGTACCCAGGCAGGACCCAGGTGGTATTCTTTTCGAGAGGGCAAACAAAGAGGATTAATATATGAAGCCCCTCCATTATTTTAGCAATGATTATTCTGAAGTGCAGAAAGTGGGACTTCAAAATGGGTAAAAGATCTGTGGATATTAAATTAAATACCTTTTGCTTGCTCAAGTTTATCTTTGAGACTAAAACAACATATCACTTTTTCTTTGTTTTCATTTGCATATATTCTCGGGTCTCCTGCCATGGACTTCATCAGAGCTTATCGAGGTAACACTCTCTGATGAATAAATAATAAAACATAGTTTATCATAAACTCATAATGATCAATATATTTTTTTTATTAATAAGGTTTCCCTTTTGATAATGGTATGGTTGCATTGTGAATCAAAAACAAAACAAGAACATTTTTAGGAATTGCAAAATTTACATTCATAAGTACACATTTCACATTTATAAGTAAAAATTTCACATTTAAGAGAGAAGAATAATTTACATGGTGATCAGTTCTATTGGTTAACTAAATGTCAATAATTTTCAATGTGATTTTATTTCGGAGCCACGTATGAGAAGGTTGAGTTCTGGTGTAGATAAAGAATGAAGCTTTCTCATTCTATGTATGTCATGTTGAAGGAACAGAAATAGTACGGATATTCCCTGAAAAGTATTGCTCTCCAAAAGCCCTCGTATTTGAAATATGACGAGAAATGCCTTAAAGGTTTGGGGCAAATTTTCATGCCATATGTGATTGCATTGTGCAGTTCCCTATATCTATTCTCAGATTTTTTTTTTTTTTTTTTTAGCATTCAAAAACCTACGTCGATTCTTAGGAAAAACATAATCAGTCTTCCCCATTGCTTCTAGATAGTTTCTTTCACTGGAAAGGTATTCTACTGTATCTTTATATCCTCATCATTTTCACTCTCTCTTTGATGAATTTTAATCTAAAGCTGAAGAATCGGCACCACCAGTGGTCAACGCCGTCTCTGCAAAGGTTGGATATGAGGGTAAAGAGCTCAAACTAGAACACCATGGCATTTCAATGGCTATTCCACCTGGGTCTGTGGGACAGAACGATTCTTGCAAGATCACTCTCACCCTTGTGAGAGACCTCCCCAGTATTGTCATCCAAGATGACACACCAATGGCAGCCTACGGGATCAGATGTGACCCTCCAAATATGGACTTCCACCGACCTGTTAAGATCAGGATACCACATTTCACCTTGGTCACCAACCCGGGGCAAGTGATACCAGACATCGTCTCCCATATTTGGGATACAAGAAAGGGTAGGTTATTTGGCTTATTAAAAGATCTATTGTTCCATGATTATAAATTGAACACTGAAATTTATACAAAATAAACTAACTTAAACCATTCTTTACCTCCTGGTTACCCCAGGAATCCTGGTCTTTAAACCAAGTGCTATTGAAACATTAAAAAGAATCATGTGGATGTATGAACCAGTTGAGTTTTCAAAGAATATGTAAAAGTGGTCTTGTACTATACCTTATAGTTTGGTATAATTATGTCCAAAATCAGGTTTAAATAAGGATGTTAATCTGAGGCTTCGGGTTGTTTAAGCTGAACATGATTTTAGACTCGGGGTTTAATTACGGTGACTGAAATGAGTAGGATACGGACCAAAATGTCTCTTGAAAACTTATTCTAAATTTAAGCCTTCATAGACTGAAGCGGGACTGAAGGGGTTGTTAATATTTCTGATAACTGTTGAAAGGATGACCTTAAAGATAAACTTGAGTTCTCGTAAAAAAAGAAAATGAATTCTCACAGAATCTAACGAAACTTACACTGAATGTTCGAGATTACAAATAAATGTCATGTGCCAAACAATTTTGGAAGAAAATGTATACTGGCTGAGTAATGAGCATATAAAGATAAGGAAATCAGGGTAGTACCAGCCCCGACACCATGTGTGTTGTCCCATATACATCTTTCTGTGTAAGTGATTGTTACTTTACCAAAACTCTGCCAAATTTATGATGATTTTGATGACTCCAGAACCTTGCATTACACACCATTACTTACATGCTATATGATCAACTTTTCTGATCCATTCTACACCTTTTCTTTCACAATGCAATCGCATTACCAGAACTCAAGTTTATCTTTAAATGGCTACCAAACATATCGAGTATGTAAAAAATATCAAAAACGTATGTTTTTAAGAGAAGGCTGAGTTCTGGTTAAGATGAAAATTTATTCATGAGTTTTCTCATTTTCTATATGTCATTGTGGAAGAATACCATAGTAAAAAATTATCCTGTACGTGATTGATCTTAAAATCATTTTTTATTCAAAATATCACAACAAAAGGCTGAAAAGTTTGGTCCAAAGATTTGTGTGTAGTCCCATGTTAACAGTTCTGTGTGTGGTGCATGCGATCTCCAGGAAAACTGAGTATATTTTTATCAATTAAATTAAAAACAGGAATCTCTTTTCCATTATAGGGCTATGCCTAGCTTCTTGTTGCTCAAATGTTCATTAAAGAATGCATGAAATTGTGGCTCTAATCATAGGTTTACCAATAGTTTCGAGGACAAAATCATCTGCTGCACCTGACAGATGGCCGTACTGCAAAGTCCTGGAGAAACATCTTGAGCTGCAGATCGATCACTGTGCCGAGTGGTGGGTTCTTATCCCTCTTGAGCAACAGATCATCCAGCTTCGATTCGTGTGTACCCCATTTGTACCAGACAAGATTGAACGAGGCAAAGAGTTTGATGTTCATCTCCACCTGAATGCAGATATCCCGGGCATAGAAATGGTTAGAGAGAAAGAGTTCGGTTCAACTCGGTTCACTTTTATACTCTCTCACTCCCTTTAGATCTATTCCCAGGGAGCATGCTCATATATTGGTCACTTGCAAGGGGGTTTCAGTCAAATATGAATACTGTAAAGCATGCGTGACTAAGAAAACGCGTATAAAGGGGGTGTTTTTAAATTAGATTGAACGCGGTCCGCGCGGTGCTGAATTAAGGGGTACAAAAACGTCCATTTCGGGCCATTTTCAACAAAAAGGGTACTTTTTCAAAAAGATTCAAAATCCTGCTGTACGCGCCGGTATATGCGCCAAGGGGTATTTTTCTAGCATTTTGAGGGCCAGACCAGGAAAAAAAAGGAGTAATAATTGCCCATTGGCGAGGCTACCAGCCGCCGCCTGCGACCGCGGCCAAGCTAGTTATAGCAAAAATTATAGAAATGCGTCGCTCTCGCATCTTTAGTTATAGTGTAGACGACGGCGGCGAGAAGTAGCTAATTATCTAGCGAGAGTCGGTAGCGTTGTACGGTATGCATATCTCATGCACCCATATAGAGTCTTACCACATATATTTAATAAGATTTAGCTTTTATATAGCGCTTAAAGATACTATGTCCCTTTTGCAGCCAACATCAAATTCTGAAGAGCTTTGCAGGAATTATGAATTTGTCATGTATGTCCTATCTGTGAAATTTAGACGTTAGCAGTGTCCTGTTATTCAAATTATCCGTTTATTTGCTAGACTTCACTGTCAGACACTATTGAGTGACTGGCTGGCTTTTTTCTTCTTTGGTAATAACATACATGTACATAAAATGAGCTGTAAAGAGTGAGCAGTTGTCTACTTTAATAACCCACTTCTTGTAATGGCCAAAATTAAACTGATTGAATCTTTGCGCGGCATAAATCGACGACCATTTGGTACAATGGTCTTAAAATCAGACTATTACTAACTGGTTCTATAGCTCTTAAGTCGATTCGACAACTAATAGTCGTTATTTTCCCACTTAAAGACATTTTCAAGCCCCCCTTTTTTTAGGGAGGATCTAAAATAGTATTATCTTTCAAATGCCGTTGGAATTTAACCTTTTCATTTTTTGGGCTTGCAAATGGGACAAAGTACCTTTAATATAAATGACTCTAAGCGCTTTTACAAATAATTATGCATAGTAGAATAGTAACTGTTCATTGAACAATGTGTACTTTTTATAAACACTACACGTACTTTACACAAAATAGATCAAATTTGAAATTGTATTCTTTTTTTCATCAAAGAAAGGACATATGATGGTTGTACATTAACCCAATTTTCAAGTGCACAGATTGATGTTATTGATTCTCTATTGAAATAAATATTGACGTTGTGAATTTCAGATCAGAAGCAAAATATGATTTATTTTACATTGTGAACAACTTAAATGGTAATCCATATCGCATTTCAAAATGCTCAAGGGTTTACAATTTTACAATACTTATTTAGGAGTTCACTTTTTTGAAATACCCGTTTAGGGTGTGAATTCGGGGAAAAAACACGCGAAATTATCATTTTGGGTGTATTTTGGCTTCAGAAAAAGTCCTTTTTTAGGGGGTGTCTGGAAAACCCGTGGTGACGCTTGTTTGCCGTTTTTCCACATGACTGAGACCCCCAGGGCCACATACACCTTGGGTTCCGATATGCCCCCACGTGCTCATATAGACTCCATATATTACATTGCACCCGAGATTCGTATGGGATACATGTATAAACCCCAGGTAGCCCATATGAGTTCGTCCCAGGGTCCATCTGATGTGGGAAAATCGTGGGCATAATGTGCACTATCCCATATGGGCATCAAATGGGTGGGGGTTCCAATTGGGCCCCTCTTAGAAGAGCCCATATGCGCCCAATCTAAGGTTGCACTGAAGTTTCACATAGCACCTATAACCGGGCAACCATTTTCGCCCATATGATTATTCTTTATCTTCTTGTAACTTTCAAAGGGCTATACAGCCTATCACTAAGATCTGTATATACGCTGACGCTCATATAGTTGGAATATTTTTGTTTTATCCCAATTTATGGAATTATTTATAAAATAATTTAAAAATAATAGATATAGATAATAGTATACATTCTCAGATTTTATTGAATAATAATTTATCAATGTGTGTTTTACGTGACCGCTAAAGCATGTGTATGCTACTTGGCTTATCAACTAAGGTACCTACGCCCTAAAGTCATAAATGAAAGTAGTGAGGATTAATGTTCCACAAAAGGGCACCAATATAGCACATTGACACGGTTTTGATCATGGGGCCTCATAGTTACGAGGCCATTGCTTTGTCATTGAACCACGACTGTACGCAGCGGGGGTAGGGTAGGGGGCAGTTTCAATAATAAAAAAAAAACTAAGAAAATGCAATAAATTCCTTTGTGTGCCCATGCCTTGAGTCATAATGCATGGCCGTCTAGAGGATTTTTTTTATGTTGGGGACCGGGGTAAAATGCAATAAATTATTGAAAATTGAATGCATTTTCTTTGTTGTTTTTATTTATGGATATAGCCTGAAACAATTGTTAGCATAGCAAATTTTGGCCTATCATAGTTACTACATGCAGATTGTAGATATTACATATATTACACATAACTATAGTAAAAACTGACATAGAAACAAAATATTGTTTCATTGATTGGTTACTGTTGCCCTTTTGAAAAACAATGTGCGAACAGGTTTAACACTCATATATAAAACTTAAGATCAATTAGGCACAACTGTAGTGAATATTCAAGTTACATAAGAGATAGCTCACAGATATTCTACATGTTGTGAAAGTCCAATTTGAAATAAACATATTCATTTTCAGCTGTGTTTTGAATTGCTCTGCGGAATCTAAATTCCTCAAATAAGAAGGAAGTGAGTTCCAGGAAAAAGGTACAGCTTTGGCTAAAGGTCTGTCTTCATAGGTTTCCCTGTCCTAAAAGAGTTAATGAATAAGATACAGTCTGTACGTGTTCTGTTTCCTTTTCTTTGAATAGGAGGTTCAAACGGAGGAGAAGCAGAAGTCCTACCATAATGCCCATCGCTCCTTTCCGATCTCTATCGAAGCTAAATCCGGTGACATTTCAGTGGCTTGTGAAGGCAAGATGAGCAACACTAAGGTATGAAAACACAACTTTGTTTTTCAATGATATTTTCTCCATTGCTTTTTACAAACAATAACAAAAATAAAAATAACAAAATCAATTGACCCTACCGCAAACACGATGTTCGACAATATATGGCGATCTTTCTTCCACACTGGACTTCATGTCAGCACATGCGCATGTACGATACTGGGGAAGACGATAAGACAAGGTTACTTCCGGCTTCCATAGAATGTACAGCAGTGTTAAAGGTACTATGTCCCTTTTGCAGCCAACCTCAAATTCTGTAGAACTTTGCAGGAATTATGAAGATGTGATGTATGTCCCATCTGTGAAATTTAAACGTTAGCAGTGTCTTAATATTCAAATTATGCAAGGAAACCCGTTTACTTGCTAGACTTCACTGTCAGACACATTGACTGACTGACTGGCTTTTTTTCCTTCTTTGGTAATAACATACATAAAATGAGCTGTAACAGGTACATGAGCATTTGTCAACCGGTACATCAATAAACCACTTCTTGTGATGGCCAAAATTAAACTGATTGAATCTTTGCGCAGCATAAAACGTATGACCATTCGGTACAATGGTCTGAAAATCAAGACTATTACTTATTGGCTCTATAGCTCCTAAGTCGATTTGACAACTAATAGTCGTTATTTTCCCACTTGAAGACATTTTCAAGCCCCAACTGTTTTAGGGAAGTTCTAAATTACTATTATCTTTCAAATGTCGTTGGAATTTAACCTTTTCATTTATTGGCCTGCAAATGGGACATAGTACCTTTAACTAATTCATTATTTTACTTAACTATTGTTCCGGTTTCATGAGATCTATGTAGGATCATCATAATCCGTTTATTACTTAAAGTATATTGATTCTGAAACTATGATTTCTATCGGACTTTCCAATTCCTGACCCTTTGTATTTGTATGGGAACCGGACGTACATTTTGCTGCCTTCTATGGCGAGATACCGTAGTTGCACCAGCGAGAATTTACATGTGCCCACAGAGTGAAACCTGTATACATAGCTGTATAGAAAGCTTACCTGCCTACAAAGACCATAATGTGGTCTTTCCCTTTAACATTATTGTTATAGCTCAGATACACTATAACATAAGTGCTTTACCTGAGAGTTAAGGGAGTGTCCTTTCTATTTGGCTGCTGATAATGAAGTGGCTTGGAAGTTCACAGCAGTGACATGGTAATGGTATGCTATTCGGGGGGCCGTTTCTCGAAACCGTCATAACTACAAGATCAACGACATCTCGCCACTGTCGCGCAACTTGTCAGCTAAGTGTTTCACGAAGCCGTCTTTGCCAAGATGAGCGACAACTTCCGCGACAAGCGAGTTGTCACTGCTCCGAAACTGTCATATCTTTTTAATTGTTGTAAAGCGCCATCACAAGTCAGTTTGTTGCCATTCCATGGGCCGCGAAATGGGCGATTAGTTTCACTATCATTTTGAGAAAAATATAGACGAGTTCGGTACGTAATTCTCTGGGATGCGAAATGCAAATGTACAAAAGTGAGAATACAAATTATACAGAAACTTTAAAAAGCTGAATATAAACATTAAATCACAAATCATTAAACTATAACATATAAATAAGAGAGGTAAGAATGTTACACACCGTTTTCCATAGTCGATCCATAGTCTTTTCTTAGGATACCGTCATACCTTTGGGGCCTACGTGCATTATTATTCCCTCTCTATACTTCTTCCAAATGATATTTTCAATATCAAATCAATTATATAACGAGTATTTAATATGAGACTCTAGAATAAAAAACTGGCTGAGAAAAGACATTTTGCCTAAAATTCCTCGTCACAATAAACAAAAAAGTACGTATTGATAAATTATCACATTACGGTATCCTTTAACTAACTTTTGATTCGACTGTCGAAAAAAAAACACTCACCGGTTTTTCTTCAATTTAAGAATCTTTACAGAAATATGCAAATCGTTTGATGATGTAAATATGATAATGACACTATTTATTATTTATTTTAGGAGAATTTATATGTATATATTTCTTTTCGAACAATTTCAGCCCCAAAACTTGTTTTTGGTTATTCTTGATAAATCAAATGGATCGTGACAAAGACTATGTTCTTGAGCTGCTAGTATCGCGATATATCGATATCATGTCTGTCATGGCTTTGTGAAACGGTTTATCCGCTTCATGACATCTCCGTAGGTCGCCGACAAAGATATGACTGTCATGGAGTTGGTTTCGAGAAACGGCCCCCGGGTATCCATCTATTGTCCTATTGATACCTCATGGTAGTGAGTCAAATAAGTCATATGCTGCTCCACGTGGAGATACAATACAAACAATGAATCAACGCATGCATTTTAAAAAGTTCCTTCTTGGAGTTAAAACAAATGTATGCATGCATTCTCCCCCTCTCTATAGTTGCTTATACTCCAGCCTGTATGGTGGACGTCGATCACGAACAGGATTTATGTTTATTTTTCCTGCGGATGTAGTTTGTTCCCGAGGAGGTGATGTTGGTCCATCAGACTGGTCTTAAAGGGTATGTCTTAAAGGGTATATCATTGTCATCCTGTAAGGTAGATGGAGGAAGGTCATTAATGGATCCTCTTATGATATGACCAAGATGAATCTGTTTCTGTTTATCACCAACTTGAACGACATATCTTACTATCCCAAAGCTTGCACAATGATTCCATAGTCCCACTTTTTCCCTCTGTATGCATGACGTGCTTACCTGGTGAATCCTGACGAATGCTGGTACGCCCTTTGGCGTGTGTTCTCTTGGCAGCAGCCTGCTTCTTTTCCACTGTTTCAGCCAAGGAAGGTTTAATGAGAGTTTAATGCGGGTACGTGGTTGTCTCTTTAACAGTAATTCATCTGGTGTGCGTCCAATTAGGGAATGTGGAGTGTTGCAATAAGTAAAGAGAAAGTTAGCAATCTCATTTTGAGTAGTCAAACCACTCTCCTTGTAAGCCTTCAGATTCTGCTTCAAGGTTTCAACGCAACGTTCAGCAGCTCCATTAGAAGATGGATGATAAGGTGGAACTCGGATGTGATTCACCTTATTCTTCTTGAAGATCTCAGCGAGCTGTGCAGAAATGAATTGCGGTCCATTATCTGATACAATGTGTTCAGGAAATCCGTGGGTAGCAAATATGTGCCGTAGTACATCAATGATAGCACTAGTTGTTGTAGTTCTCATTGGATAGACTTCCATCCATTTTGAGTACACATCAACTAGTAAGAATAAATCCTGGCCATCTAGCTCAGAAAATATGCAGGAACTCACTCCCAAACCCCTGAAGGCCCTTTCCATGAATGAAGTAGCGCTTCAGTGAGTTGACTCCTTATATTGAGGCAAGTGTGACAATTCCTTGCCAGTGATTGAATGTTCTTGTCCAAATTAGGCCACCAAAAGAAACGTCTAGCCAAGCTCATGCATACGACTCATAACGATGTGCCCCTCATGTAGTTTCTGTCAGCATCTTGGTCTCCAGGCAATCTGGTATGATGACTCTTAGTCCCCATATTAAGACATCTTGCTCGACTTAAAGCTCATGTCGGCGATGAAATATGGTTTAAGGCGAGGCGTCAAAAATATCGCTACCAGCAGGCTGCCGCCTCACGTATTGGCGCATCGAGGCAAGAATCTTGCATAATACTAAAGCCTGCCAAGTACGAACGTAGCTTTGGTAAATTCTTTTGTCTTGGTGCATCTTTCACAGCTTGAAATTTGTCTAGGGTAGGATGCAAATCATGCAATCCATCTGAATCCACCACATAACCTAGGTACTCTACCATTGTTTTCATGAACTCAAATTTGGGCAGCTTTAGTCGAAGTCTATTCTGTTCAAGGCGCTGTAGTACAGCATTCACTCTTGCGAGATGTTCCGACTCATTCTTTCCTGAAATGAACATGTCATCCAGACAGCATGCTACTCCCTCCAGACCTTGTAGAACTTGTTCATTGGCAGCTTGGAAAATAGCAGGTGCACTTGCCACTCCAAAAGACAGTCAAGTATACTGAAAAAGCCCTAACTGAGTGTTGATAGTCAGATACTTGCGAAAATCTTCCAACAGTTTTATCTGCTGATATGCCTGTGATAATTCAAGATCGGTGAAACAACATCCATCTGCCAGGGTTGCGAACAAATCCTGTGAGTTCGGTAAGGGGTACTTGTCGACACCCAAAACAGGATTGATAGTAGTCTTATAATCCCCACAAATTCGAATCGACTTGTCAGACTTCGGTACTACAACAACAGGAGCGGCCCAATTACTGTGTGAAACTGGAATAAGAACTCCTTGTTCAACAAGTTTGTCAAGCTCAGCTTCTATCTTATTTCCCAAGGCATAAGGTACCGGTCTTGCTTTATTGAAGCGGGTCTGGGCATCAGATTTGACTTTAATCTTAGTCTTGTGAGTTGTCTTGCTTCCAAGACCTGCCTGATGTTTTCGTTGAATTTAAGACAGTCCATGTTTGGTACTTTCTTTAAATGGCTCATCCTTGACTGATGCAACTTTGAACACCGATCTCCAATTCGGCTGGATGCTTTCGAGCCAATTCCTACCAAGAATAGCTGAACAACCCAAGGGTATGCATTTCACAATCACCTTCCTCTCGTAATTCAGAAACAACAAATTTGATTGACTTACTCTTACTGCTGCTAAATGTCCAACCTTTCCACAGTTATTACATTTGTACGACTTGTACTTATAAGTTGATGGAGGGTGTTGCCCCTGTCCGCATCGATGACAAGCTCCTTTCACCTTAGAACTGGTGTTTTGCGATGGTTGTTTCTTTGCTCGACAACTGTATCTGACGCCGCTAGAACTGATTTTCTTTACTTCACCAATACATATTTCAATGCTTTGTCAAAGGTGAGATCAAAGTCACTCAATAACTTCTTCTGAGATACACGGTTTTGAAGTTCACACACAAATCTGTCCCTTAATGCTTGTAGAAGAAGGTACCAAACTCGCATGTGCTAGACAAGCGTCTCAATTCAGCAGTATAACCAGAAACCAATTATTGTGGAAGCTGGTTACGCTGATGAAATTTGAATCTCTCAGCAATTATCAAAGGCTTTGGATAAAGATGAACAGTGAGGGTAGAAACCAACTGTGAGTAAGCCTTTCGTGAAGGCTGCTCAGGGCTAACAAGGCTCTTCAACAGTGTATAAGACTTTGCACCTATCACACTAAAAAATACTGCTTCCCATTTTGCCTTCTTGCACATCATTTGCTTCAAGAAATTGCTCAAATCTCACATTGTAGGACTAACAAATCCCTGCTTCTGCGTGATACTCTTTAATGCGTCCCAAATTCATGACGGAGTCCAATTATCCTCGTCGCCACTGTTATATCTCAGATACACTCTAACATGAGTGCTTTACCTGAGAGTTTAAGGAGTGTCCTTTCTACTTGGTTGCTGGTATTGAAGTGGCTTGGAAGTTCACAACAGTGACATTCTTCCTATAGTGGTAATGGTATGCTATTCGGGTATCCGTCATTGAAGACCACTTTTCTTGTCTCCTTTAACAGTTTTTATAAAACAGGTTTCACTGTATACGGAGCGCTCAAGGAAGACAGCAAAAGCAAGTGGTCTTTATGTATAGGATCTTTAACCGAATCTTGTCCTTACAGTCAAATCTGCTTTAAGCTACCACTTGCATAAAAGCTCACTTGTCTCTGAAGATCACATTTTGTTCCCCTCGAATTGTGTTTCTCATCGAACCGTGTATTATAGAAACCTGTCCAATAGCGACTGCCTGCTCATGAAGGCCACTTTTGTTATCTCTCCTGAGTGATCTTTGAATACAGGTTCAATGTTAATTGTTTGGTTTTTATTTGCCCACAGCTACTTTATTTGAAGGATATCCAGAACCAAATGCGACACAGCGTATTGCTATCAATGACCCCTGGCGAGGATGATGCAGAATTCTCAGTCATTTACGTGACGATATCACAAGCTGGAAGACTAGGCCAGAGGTCTCAATCGTTGGCGTTCGTCATCAGATACACAGGTTTGTGGAAAATTGTATTCCCCATGATAGAGCTTGATGAAAATTATGTTGATAAGTCTGATAGCTAGGGAAGGTCCATCTAATAGTCTCTCTTTTCTGATTTCGTTTTAAAATATTTATATATATATATATATGTAGTGACCAAACTGGTTTTTACCCTTTCAAAACTTGGTTTTCATTTAAGAACACCTTACAGCATTTTGGGTGTGTCTAATTTAAACACGCGTGTCAGACCCGAAGCCTAGTACTTAAATGGTCACGTGGGTCTGGTGTATACCTACTTTAAGGACAAAATAGTCCCTTGATTATTTATCCATAAATTGTAGGTAAAGTTAAAGGTACCATAATGAAATTATGATACTTTCTCATGTATGTTTTAAAGTTCTTTTTCTGATATTGATTTTTATACCTAGTCCAGAAGTATGTGCATTCATGCTCGAGGAGTAGTCCTTCTGGACGTGCGCTATATCAGGCAAGGCCCTGGTGGGCATTTGATATAGCGGACATTCGTCCACTTGCTTTAAGCGAAGCTGGTTGTTCCAATACCACACTATCCGACACCTTAAGTAAAGGGTTGTTTTTCAATCAGGTTACACAATAGAAAAACACACTTTCATGGCTGTTAAAACAAAAACAATGAACTGCCAAGGAAAATCTTCCTCGATCAACTATTTTGCAAGGTTAGAACAACCTACAACAGCGAAGAAATCGTTTTAAACGAGCAACTACTTTTCAAAATATGTAATTATATGCCATTTTTTAAAAACATTTTCTCATTTCACTTTTTGCAAAATTGGAACATGTGCATATCTGACATACAATCCCCCAAAACATTATCAACTATCAGAATTAACTCATCCAACGGGTCTATGTTAATCTGAATTGGGTGTAACATTTTTGGCAAATCTACACATTTTGACTTCGCACCAAAAATGAGGTGCAAGATGTGTCAAAAAATGTCCTCTTAGAAACCAGTGTAACAATTCTAAGTACGACTGCACTTAATTAATTATTTTTTCCTCCTTGAAAAGAGCCACTAATATCCTACAAAATTATGATATTAACTTTTCCCACACTAACTCAGTTTTTGGTGAATGCGTGTTTCAATTTTGTTTGTCAGGGTTGTGTCATAAAGTGTTCTCTCCGAAAAAGTGAAATTTTTTATCAGCACTCCTTCTAGAAGAGCCACATTTTAAAACAAACTTATTTTATTAGTAGACCTAAAATTGTTTATGTGTAATAGTTAATGTTTATTTTGTTTAATATTCACACTGATTTTGAAGGTGTCAAACACAATGTCCTCTCCGACCCATAATCAGTATATGGATAAATGACTGTAATATTAGTCTACAAAGTGCATGTATTTACAAAAACTAGCCTGATTTAAATTCATCATGAGGTGGGTATTACAGTCTAGCATGTTCCTGTTATGTAATGGGAGGTTTTTCAATTCTATCCATTCGCAAGCTACTTTCACCCCCTATAATTCCATGATGTAATGTATATCTGGAAGAATTAAGACTTTCCATCCATTTGATTGCATTTACTGTGTGTGTTTATAAAATACTTTTCCACATTATCAATAATGTTAATCAATTACACAATGATCAATTGACACTACGATTACCATTTATATACATAGTCTCTTTGATTTCGGAGAGAACAGTAGTTTGTTGACATATTTACATACTTCCATCAAAATTCTGTTTGACTCTTTTTCAAATGATGAATTACTTTTATTGCAGATGACTCGACATGCCAAGTATCCACTGAGCCCTCTTCATTTATTCGGTAAGCTCTCGGTTTTATTATGATGCCGTTGTCTGACATGTTTGTTTCAGGGATTCACTTTGTTTTTGTTAATTTAATTTGTGAAATACATGATACCTTTTTAGAAAAGAACTAGAGTCATGCATACCCAGCGCTCAAAATACACGGGGCGGTGGGCGATTCGCCCCCGTGAGCTCCATAATAGCCCCCGTCAGGTTGATCACGGGGGCGATTGCAAAATAAAAAATCGACCCCTTGGAATTATGAAATAAAGATTACCTTTTTTGATATAACTTTAACACAATATTGAGTATAAATTTTCAAACCTTAAACCAATGAAATGGAATTTAGATGGCGCTTTCTCACCCATCTCTATGAGTATTACCGATACAAATAACGAAAGCTCGCAGTGCAGCTAGTGCGGTCGTCAGCAGTGGCTATACTGCGCCGGTAGTACCGGTGTGCACGCTGACGCCCAAGATCTGCTGGAGCTGGAGACGATCGCGCAAGGACTTATAAACATGGGGAAGTTTTTCGTTTTGAAAAGTGTGAATCCTCTAAAATTTGGTGATTCTAAAAGACCATCAAATAATGCAATTCGACCAGTAAATCAATATTGAGAAGAAGAAGAAGACCAAAGATGTTGCAGGGGCGGATCTAGGCGGTTTAGGGGGTTTAACCCCCCCCCCCCCTCCCTCCTTGGGCTGCCAAGTGAAAATGTGATGTGCATAGAAAAATGCTGTCATGTGTCTGGACACAGTATTAGTATTAGTAGATGTCAGCAGATGCCAGGAAAACAACGGGGGTTAAAAAAAAGCACCAAAAAAAATCGCCTCGCCGCTTTTCGGCTCGTGAACGATGCTCCGTATGTTAGTAGATGCCGGGAAACATCACCTACGGGGGTTCAAAATAGCAACAACAAAAATCGCCTCGCGCGCTACGCGGCTCGAGGACGATGCTCCACATCGTATTTGTGTTACCCCCCCTCACCCTTAGCAAAAAGCTAGATCCGCTCCTGTGTTTTGGAAGGATATGGTAAAGACTAAAAGTAAAGAAAGAATGTAAATAAGGTTGCTCAGAATAATGAGGAGGAAATTATGTGCAGAACGGGAAAAAATGGAGAGAATGTCATCACCGGGGTAAAAGTCAATAACAGCTATGTAACAAGTAAATTTCTATGAGGGAAAATGCCGACTTAATTAATGATAATGATAAAATACCAAGGAGTTTCATGGGTACCAATTCAATGGAAATTTGTATTAAAATAATAGCCCTCGTCAGCACTAAGAGAGCCCCCGTGAGAAGGCTCACGGGGGCTCTTTTTTGGGGGGAAGAGCCCCCGTGGACAAAAAATTAATTTGAGCCCTGTCAGCATACCTGATATCATTAGTTGCGACTTCACTGACACTATACATTTTTTCACATTATAAAATAAAATATGAAATGTCAACGCAGAAAAAGAAAAGATTTATGAAGGATTAACCATGATGGTCAAAGTCTATTACTATTTTGAAGAGAAATGTGTATCTAACCGGTCACCTCCCCCACCCCCCCCCCCCAAAAAAAAAACAAAAAAAAAAACGTGAGTGTTACTGCAGTAGAACCTGTATGTTAATACTGTTTAAGGGAGACAAGAAAAGCGGTCTTTTGAGGCAAATTGCCTTTACACACAGGATTCAATAAGAAACAATTTGAAAGGGACACATGGTATACGGTTTTCATAGGCAGGACGTTTCTCCGTACAGGTGTTGCCAAATCAGGTTTGACTGTATATTTTTCAGGGCTGTGGAGGAGCTCTCCGGCAGTGACCTTGCCGACACTGATGTCATCACGATATCCCAGATGATGACGGTGAACCAGTACTATGATTTGGGAGTGGCTCTTGGTTTCACCATACAACAGTTGAATTCCATAGAGTACAGGAGATTCAGAGACAGACAGCAGGCCATCCAAGACATGCTGGTGACATGGAGAAAGAGACAGACCTCCGGCCAAGAAGCGAAGGAAACACTTCGCTCACTCATGAAATCTTTGGACTCGCCAGCCGAACAGAGGGAGATATCAGGTTAGTTGAATAGCACTTGCTTTTGCAACAATCGCTCTGCGGTAATTTCTTACAATTAAATAGATATGTTCAACCCTGCACCACAGTATGCCTAAATCCGAACCCTTAACCTATCCTAAAACCCAGTTACAACCCTCAACCTAACCTTAATCCGTACCCCTGGGTTTTGACAAAATATAAGCCAGAGCAATTGTTGCAGGAGAAAATGTTCAATCACTGTCAGGTTTATATTGTAGTATTTGTACTGATTATTTCTTGATTTGTGAAAAGTGAATAAAGATGTTGTGGTTGTTCTAATCCATATTTCGACTGTTTTTGCTATTGTTCACGTTTCCTCTCTTGGCTGATCATAGTATATGATAGAACACCCGTAAGAAAGGAAGCATCTTTTGTCAGTGGCATTAACGACCTGCATGCAGGCATCCCATGATATCCATGATCTACGAGTTTTTTGTTCTTTACGGATTTGGGCCATTCTGTTTAACGTAAAATATGAAGGGAGAAGCCGTTTGTTAAAAAAGAGGAAAGAGACCCATATGTCAAAAACTGAAGAAAGGCCTGGTCGAACCTAATGATCTGCATATGTACACCTGGGCCCGTCTTATAAGAGTTGATATTAATCGCAACTACGTACATAAGAGATGGGGACTGCACACTTGAAATTGATTAGAGGACTTGCGATTGATCCATATATATTGCATTAGCAACTCTTTATTAGACGGCGCCCTGAATAATAACATAGCTTGGGCTCTATCATTAGGGGCACTGCCCGCATAATATCTTCTGAATCGGGAACGACTGATCATTATAGTTATATCGCTAAAGGTGAGGTCTGGCCAGGCCTTTATGCTAGGGTGATTATCAAAGATTCAGGTAGAAGGGTGTTTTTCTAAATTTGTTTAAATCTTTCTATTCTACTTATATCTTTGAAGTTATTCCCAGCTTATTATAATTTTGTGTACTTTTTCTCCTTCCCCGGCCATGTGACTTCATTATCTACCACTTGATCGACATGTATCATAATCAGCTACAACTGGGTAAGTATATTTATGTGATGGAGAGCCCTATGTCTATAATCATGAATATTTGACTTGAGATTGCACAAGGAATATTGTATTATTGACGTTGTCACTTTTGGGTTATTCTTGGTAATCTGAAAATTCTCATTAAACTTTGAACAAGAACAGATTGCCTCCTCACTCTTATTATTGGAAACAGATGTGCCCTATACGAACATGCATATATAATGTAATTTACTGGGTCGCAGACATGGAGCCTGTAATGATAGGTCAATATGCATTCAACGAGCAAACTTAATCTCTATACCTCCGAGTGAAAGTTTTACCAAAGTATTCACTTTTAATATGCGATCAATAAGGAATAAGACGACTGATTTCTATGATTTTGTCACTGTAAATGACTTAGATATTGTAGCAATAACTGAAACCTGGCTTAAAGATGGTGATAATGTTGTCATAGGAAAAAATACCCCTGCCGGATATAGCTTTGAACACCGGCCGCGTCAAGGGAAGGCCGGAGGAGGGGTTGGACTGTTATACAAATCTTCGCTCTCACTTACTACTAGTCTTGTAACTCCGTTCACATCATTTGAATCGCTTCATGTTACAATTTCAGGAAACTCTCGCTCAATCAGTTTAGTCGTAGTATATCAACATGGAGTGGTATTCTGAACATTGTTGTAGGTTTTGTGTTATCTTTTGTTGTATCTTCCAGAGATAACACAGCGCTAATATTGTTGTAAGTTGGTATTCTGAACATCATTTTATCCATGTGTTATCTCTTGAAGGACCGCCTCTATCTTATCTTTCACCACTGTTGACACGCCCATTTGTATGGACCCTACCAATCAAATATGTGTTATATAAGCATGATAAGTAGGTCAACCAATAGGAATACTTCATGCCATTATCTGAAGATGCGCCTAGCGCATACTAATCTTGGGCGTCATTAGTTATTTGAGCGCTTGTTACGCGCGGCATCATATGCTCTGTGGCATGTGGATCATGAAGACAAATCACGCTTTCACTATATTGGTTAAGATGAGAGCTTCAAAATCGTCATATCCTAGCATGTAATTTCTTAGAAAGTTCTCATCTGTGATGTTTCCGGTCAACAAACGATCTTCTTTTAACTCGTCTATTGACACGAAGTTCGTTCTGGGCAAGAAAAATTGCCGCCATTATATCACCACGAAAGATACAACAACCCCCTACCTGTTGTAAATATTGTTGTAAATACCATGCAAGATAATATAAGATAAAAGATAAAACAACTTTCAGAATACCAATTATCTTGTCATATTATCTCTCGTGCGCATATGCAAATGAGGATTAAGCGCCATTTTATTACTAATAAGCACAATTACAAGCGCAACAAGGTTTGAACGCAGGCGCGACCAAACAGATGAGAGAAAAGATACAACAGAAGATACAACAAAAGTTACAACAATGTTCAGAATACCAACTTTATCTTATCTCCAAAGATTCAACAATATTAGAGATAACAAAGGGTTCAGAATACGGCACCTGAATCTGATGATCATGGAAGACCACAGTGTGGAGACGGATCTATTGAAAGTACAAAATGACATTTTAATAGAAATGGATAAGGGGAAAGTTACTGCATTAGTTCTGTTAGATCTCAGCTGCGCATTCGATACTGTTGACCACAATATCTTAATCGACAGACTAAAGCATGTTGGCATTGGTGGAACATGGCTTCATTGGTTTCGTTCCTACCTTTCAAATCGATCTCAAGCGGTTAACCTTCATGATACAACTTCATCGGTTGTTAATCTTCTGTTTTCTGTGCCCCAAGGATCTGTTTTAGGTCCTCATGAGATAATCATTAAACACGATATAAGCTATCATATGTATGCAGACGACCTACAATTATACTTTTCGTGTCTTCCTATTCAGGAACAGGTAGAAAAACGTGTTGAAGATCTTGAAAGTTGTATTCGTGATGAACGGAAATGGATGAATGATTGCTATCTCAAACTAAATGACGATAAAACAGAATTTCTCTTGTTAGGCTCCAGACAACAACTTTCCAAGATTGTTATAACTCATATACGTGTGGGTTCTGTGCACATTACTCCTTCAGATAAGGCAAGAAATCTTGGTGTCATTTTCGATACAAGCATGTCTCTTGATGCACATATTTCAAAATGTGTGAAAGCTGTCTATTATCATCTTCGTAATCTTCGCGCTATAAGGACATTTTTAACCCCCCCAACCACTCAACAACTGATTCATGCTTTTGTAACATCTCATCTCGATAACTGTAACTCTCTCCTTTATGGACTTCCTAAATACCAAATTCACAGACTACAAAAGGTTCAAAACGCAACTGCCCGCCTTGTCACTAAATCTAAACGTTCGACCCATACTACTCAAATACTCAAGAACCTTCACTGGCTTCCAATAGAACAGCGTATCAAATATAAAATTCTACTACTCACCTACCGTTCACTAAATGGATCAGTCCCTGAATATATTTCCTCTCTTCTTAATATCTCTTTAAGTTCTCGTGCAGGTCTTCGGTCCTCTAATTCAACAAATTTAACACAATTAAGAACAAAGAGGAGCTGGGGAGACAGAGCTTTTACAGCTACTGCACACCGGTTATGGAACTCCCTACCCCATTCAATCAAAATGTCAGCCAATCAAAATTTGTTCCAACAAAAATTTAAAACCTATCTAATGTCTGAATTCCTTAGTTAAGATGTAGTGTATTTCACAATCTGATGTAATCAACGTTGTTGAATTATATTTAATTATGTTAAATTATTTTCGTTCTCTTAAGTTTAATGTACTTACCTTGTAAGCCGTCTGCATCTCTTGGGGTGGATATGTGCGCATTATAAATGTTGTTGTTATTATTATTAATAAAATAATAACAATAAGAGCTAGTTCTTATACAGTGCGTGCCAGAAAAAAGGAAACCGAGAATTATCGTAGTTTTATCATAACGTAGTCACATTTATAATTACTAAATGACACATATTTGGAAAGCTTAGATCCCCCTCTTTCATTTGATGCAACTCGTTTAATCCATATTTCACGCATGAGTGATTAAAATGAATTTGAAGAGAGGAAACCAAAAAGTCATTTGGCGGACGGTATCTGAATTTCAAAGAGAAAATCACCTTTCTATAAAGTTGAGGTACTGCCCTTTCATATGACACCTCAATCGGGAAAAATGAGCCATGCATTAAGTCTTTCGTCTACGGCTAATTGTCAACCAAATGGAGTTAAGGCTTTTGTCAACTCTGTTTGTTGCTACGGCAGGCACCCAGTGAAAACGATTTCGGTTGATAAAATTATGGAAATGCAAGCACTACTTTAAACAAACAGAACTTTTTCATTCCTTGCTCATTTTTTCCTGATTGAGGTGTCATATGAAAGGGCGAACCCTCAACTTTTTAGAAAGGTGATTTTCTCTTTGAAATTCAGATACCGTCCGCCAAATGGTCCTCTTGAAAAGAACGTTTAAACACCCCCCCCCCCAATCAATACAACGCACATGCATTGACTTCGTAGCTTTTGATCATACTCACATTTTAACTTTGAAAAATATTCAGTGCAGGGTGCAATTATTTTTAAAACACTTTGGTACGATGGCATAGACCCCGTAAGATTTGGCATTTAAATGTGAATAGCAGTGAAACTCCTTTCATTCAAAAACTACATGTACGTAAAAAATATGCGTAGACGGTCAATAATTACAACATCCTTGATAAGAGCCTATTACTTTGAATCATTACAATACTATAGTGTTTTGTTTTTTATCATGAACATGATGATTATTAAAATCATTCTTTTTTTCCTTCTATTTGATAAATAAAAATGTAAATAAATAAACAAATAAAACAAAAGAGAGAAACTATAATGCAGCTAGCTTCACAGGTACATACACACAGGAAATTGGGCACTGGGGTCAACGGAGGTGGGTCATCCCCCGTGTGGTCAACAACTGGGGT